ACACAGCATTGTTATTATCAATTGTAGTAAGGCACATTGTTATGAGTTTATAAATACACTAACTGACAATAAAGAAAGTATATCTATTGATAATCATAATTGACAATAAACAATCCGTGACTGAGACATCAATGTCATAATAATCCAATTAGCTACCTGTATTTACAATCCCATGTGTATTATACATGTATATTAACTCAAAATTTTGAAATTTTAAATGTTTATATCTAATAAGCTAATAAAGTTATATTAAAAATTCAAATGCCATTTACTTTTAAATTAAAAACTCAAAATAAAAGACGATATTTTTAGTTTTGAACAATTACAAAAATACTAACCTCGAGATGACTATAAGAAACTTTTAGAATTGGTCATAATATTTTTTGGTGAAACACCTTTACATTGAATTTATTTTAAAATTCCTGGCCCAATCCATCATGCTCGTTGGATGGCTAAGGACATTTATTGTTTGAAAATTTTTTTTGTTTCGGGGCCAATTTGAATTGTCAATCAAAGAGAGTTAAATAATATTCGTTCATTATGTATTTTTATTACAAGTATATATAGTTTCTGGTTGTATATAAATTTGTAAGTTAACATTATTTTAGCTTCAATGTGAAACTGAGACGGTATTAATTTTACTCTGATGAATTTTATTTTAAATTAAAATTTAAAAAATTGTAGGTTTTGAATAATAAATAATAGAAAAAATGTCGAGTTAAAAATGTATAGAAAATTAAATTTAAAACAACGGTTAAATGATTTTTTTTTGTTTTTACAATGAACGATTTATAAATTAACAATTTTAACGGCAAGAATAGAACACATACGTTTTTATTTTTTTAGGGCTAAATAAGAACTTTTCGAAAATTTTTGTATATATACTTTTTATAGAAAAATTGTATATCTACAAAAAAGTCTAAATAAACTTTTTCACAAAAGCTAAAGTTTTTGAGATAGACATAAAAAATTAAAAAATCACCTTTGGGGGGTTATTTTTAACCCCCTTGGGGCACGTCTTACAGTTGACCAATCGTCTCCAAATTTTGTACAATTTATTTTTTCATGTATTCGAATAATTCTAGGGGGTGGCACTTTATAATTTTTAAATTATATTTATATTATAAATATATTATTTTTGCTGTCAATGACCTTTAAGACGTCTATGATATAAATTTCTGAACTGTACCAGCACACATATTAGGTGATTTCACATGGAATGACCCAAACAAGAAATGTTAAAAAATTCTAGGTTCTTTGATGGTACATTTTTGATGTACTTGCATATATCGTTATAAATATACGATATACGGGAGACGGGCATCTTGACCGTCTCCCACCTTCTAACATCGGTTGAGGCAACAATAGCGATAGTAGTGTTACCAGATTAGTATAAAAATCCATTACAGTGCATTCAACATGTGAGTATCCAACATATTTCCTTTTTTAAAATTTACATGCAATATGATATCAACATACAGGGTGTTAGTAAATGCTATGTCACGAGTAGTAGGGTGATATTCAGTAGAACCTAAAAATAGCGAAATCGAAAACTAAAATTTCCTATCTTCAAAATTGGGGGTTTTCCGGTTTCCCCACTTTAAATTATATTTTAATAAAAAATAAACATCACAACGATATTTCCTACAAAATTTTCATACAAATTGAGTGGGTCACTCGATTTTATGTAACTTTCGTGCTCTCCCCTGATAACCTATAGTAAACAAATAGCCTGTATTTTAAAACATTTATGCGTCACTTGCTTAAAAATGTAATTTAAATTTACACTTTTCCATTTACAAAATCACCATTTACATCGACAGTACATCGAAAATAAAAATACCACCAATTAAACTCATAGCAATACAAAAAAAAAATAATCATAAATTGCAATATCCGACAATTGACTAATTTTGAGATATTTTTTTAAATATTTTGAATTGAGGAGGTTCACTCAAATTCTGGATACAATAGCTTCAGTTAGATCATATTTGGATTCTTTAAATGTATATATTAACAAAATCAGTCCAGAGAAAGCTGATAATTTTCTCAAAAAAAAAAAGCTCATGGTAAAAACAATGATAATGAGCTTATTAATTTAACAAAGTTATGTATGAGTCAAAATGTTTTTCAGTTTCAAAATAAATTTTATGAGCAAACTGAGGGCACAGCAATGGGAAATCCGCTATCACCATTTTTAGCAGAACTTTTCATGANATTTTTTTTTGTTTTTACAATGAACGATTTATAAATTAACAATTTTAACGGCAAGAATAGAACACATACGTTTTTATTTTTTTAGGGCTAAATAAGAACTTTTCGAAAATTTTTGTATATATACTTTTTATAGAAAAATTGTATATCTACAAAAAAGTCTAAATAAACTTTTTCACAAAAGCTAAAGTTTTTGAGATAGACATAAAAAATTAAAAAATCACCTTTGGGGGGTTATTTTTAACCCCCTTGGGGCACGTCTTACAGTTGACCAATCGTCTCCAAATTTTGTACAATTTATTTTTTCATGTATTCGAATAATTCTAGGGGGTGGCACTTTATAATTTTTAAATTATATTTATATTATAAATATATTATTTTTGCTGTCAATGATCTTTAAGACGTCTATGATATAAATTTCTGAACTGTACCAGCACACATATTAGGTGATTTCACATGGAATGACCCAAACAAGAAATGTTAAAAAATTCTAGGTTCTTTGATGGTACATTTTTGATGTACTTGCATATATCGTTATAAATATACGATATACGGGAGACGGGCATCTTGAACCTAAAAATAGCGAAATCGAAAACTAAAATTTCCTATCTTCAAAATTGGGGGTTTTCCGGTTTCCCCACTTTAAATTATATTTTAATAAAAAATAAACATCACAACGATATTTCCTACAAAATTTTCATACAAATTGAGTGGGTCACTCGATTTTATGTAACTTTCGTGCTCTCCCCTGATAACCTATAGTAAACAAATAGCCTGTATTTTAAAACATTTATGCGTCACTTGCTTAAAAATGTAATTTAAATTTACACTTTTCCATTTACAAAACCACCATTTACATCGACAGTACATCGAAAATAAAAATACCACCAATTAAACTCATAGCAATACAAAAAAAAAATAATCATAAATTACAATATCCGACAATTGACTAATTTTGAGATATTTTTTTAAATATTTTGAATTGAGGAGGTTCACTCAAATTCTGGATACAATAGCTTCAGTTAGATCATATTTGGATTCTTTAAATGTATATATTAACAAAATCAGTCCAGAGAAAGCTGATAATTTTCTCAAAAAAAAAAAGCTCATGGTAAAAACAATATGTGATAAATTTACTTTTCACGCAAAAGTTTTTTTTTGAACCCCCTTTATAACTAGGTAATGGGTTAGATTTACAAATTATAAATAGGGTTTACTTATTATTAAAGGGCGACTCTACTATGAATGCAACAAATCACAAGGGTGATTTTCAATCTTACAACTATGGTCCGATAGGCACCATAGAATCATATGGGAACAAGTTGCCAATGGTAGAGAAATAAACATAAATAAAGTAAAAAAAAAACACTCACGGTGCAAGCAAATTTTCGGTGTGGTCGAACAAGTGTAATCGAATGAGTATTAACATGAAGCAGAGACGTATGATGGTTATAACGATGACTTCTCTCGCATAACCGGTGGTGGTTTTACCAAATTTATATAAAAATTCTTTCCAGCGTATTCAACATATGTGTACCCAACAAATAGAATTGAAATAAACACATACAAGATATGGGTGTATTTGCATTTTTTTAACTCTAACTTATCAAAAATGAATCAATTAGGTTAGTAGTATACATACATTTTTTAATGTAAAATTATATGATTTAATAGTTTGATATTTGGTAATTTTTTCTAAGTTTGACAATAGTCGAACCACAGGAATAATACAATTATTTTTAAAAATTAAAAAAATTGTGAGTTATGTATTTTAGTCGTTAACGATTTTTTGGATCAGACCGTAAAGATATACTATTAAATAAAAATACTATGTTTAGTGTATTTGTTGCCTTTTACTTTTTTCGTAAGTAAGACAGAAGTTGAGGAAACAAAAAGAAAATCATGTGTATTTTTACGAGTTTTAGAAGTTATCTTTTTAATTTTAGTTTCAACTCACCAAAAAAAAAATTATATGTTAAATTATACTTTTGAGTATAAAATAATTATACTTTTCAAAAAATTTACGTGTTAGCATTTTTCTTCTAAGTATGACAATTTGAGTAATTAAAAAATATATCCGAATTTTTGAGAAACTAAAACATGCTTAGATTTAGCTGCAGTTCATTATTAACTACTATCTATTAAGCTGTTAATATGAACTAACAATTAATAAATTTTAACATTTTACAAATTTCATTATTTAGCTTAAATATAATATAATGAGAGTAATCGTCTTGCTTGTCAAAAATTATGCTTGTTTAAAAAAATTGAGAAATATTAGAAAAACCTATGATTTAATTTAGCCTAAACTCGACAATAAAAGTATAATTTGGCTAATAAAATATACTGTCGAAAAGAAAATTAAGTACTTTAAAAAATTGTTATTTCGATATTTTTTTAAGTACAACAAAACATGATTAATTGTTGAAAGGTCTTGAAGAATTTACTGTAACATTATCTTAATACAGATGAAATTATTATGTAATAAATATAATGAAAATTTATCTTTCAATATAAAATTAAATGATCTACTTTTTTTAACTTTTGATCTATTAATATTTTCCTAAATACAATAGAATTCGATTAATCGTGAAAAATAAAAAAAACAACTAAGTAATGAACAATTACAGGCCTTGATACATGGAAAATAACAAATAATAGTAATTTTGTAAGTATTATTCAATGCAAAATACAATTATTATTGTTTTCGTCACCACACGAGCGTTAACAATTTTATAATGTCGCCAAAACCAGTTTTTGATGTCGAATATACTTGTTATAATAGTATGAAATAACGTGAAGTTTTTAACAATATTTATTAAAAATCACTTACGTATGGATGAAAATAATTTTTTCATGTTTAATTTTAAAATATCGATTTTCTTTCTACAACAACTTAATCCTCCGTAATCTATGATTGCTCTAGAAATTTTTTAATATGACGAAAAATAATACTATAAAAAATACAGTTACAAACAAAAGTAAGTATGTACACAACCTAACCTATGATTAAAACTTAATTACTAGTCATTGAAGTACCTTTACTGTTATTCTTTAAAAAAAAATACTAGATTAGTGTAATGTGTTATTTTTTTCTTGCTTTAAAATGAAGCTATGCATTTCGATCTCATTTGTGATTCTCAATTCAATTGTACTGTGGTGGCGATACCTAATTTATACTGAGGAAGCCGCATGACCCCCAAAAGAGGTAGATAGTCGTTTGATGTTTAAAAAGCCATTATAAGTAATTAAAAAAAAGGTAAACTAAAATTGTATTACTATTCAATCCTACCATTAAATTAGTTTGCATATTTTAACTATTCGGAAGCTAAACATTTTTCGGATATTTTCAAACTTTTTTTTAATTATTAAAAATATCATTTAACAATAAATAACTTAGTTTTTAAAAGAATTTGCGCCCCTGACAATATTTTTCAATAATTGAAAGATAATTATTGAAAGTGAAGAACAAAATAAAGGCTCATATAATTCTTGAGCGTTTTAAAAATTTTACCTCTATCTACTATTTTTGTCTTCGGTAAAACTACGATTAGGAGTTAGAAATTCAAAAGGTTACTTATACTTATTAAGTATACTATTTGTTATTTATAAAGTATTATTAATCTTCAATTAAAATATCGCTCAAAATATTGGAGCCATTGTAAAAATAGTAGGTAGGGAAAACATTTTAAAATCGCTGCTCACTTCTCAGGTATTGTATAACCCCTTTTTTTACTCTTCACTTATAATAATTATTTTTCAATAATTGGAAAAATATGATAGGTGCTAAAATTTCTTGCAAAACTATGTTATTTACTGTTAGATAACTTTTTTGGTAATTTAAAGAAAAAATTTTGAAAGTATCTAAAAAATGTTTAGTTTCCTAATGCGTAAAAAATGTAATATTTGAATTAGGTTTGATACAAGTTTAGTTTATCTTTATTTTATACAGTATTTGGAAATAACTTGCATTTTCAACAGATTTTAAATTCTTCTATTTTATAAAGACATCAGTACATAATCATTAATATTTTAATTAATTATAATGGTTTTTTTACATGGCTAACATCCACATTTTTTCGAGCTCATGCGATTACCCCCATATAAATTAGGGATCTGCACCACAGTTACAGTTGAATTGACATCACAAATGAGCTCGTTAAGTATAGCGGACAACAATATTGGGATGAAATATGTATAAAATACAAGTGAAATAGAAAAAATTAACGTTTAGAGAAAATGTAGTCTTCGAATTATATTTATAAAAGCTAAAAAATGTTAATATCAAACGATTAATTAAATATTAATTATACTATTTTATTTGTAAACAGATTTCAATTTTTTTTTTTGTTGTAACCGTTAATCACTTTAAAAATACGAAGACGTTAGATTTTATCAGATTAAACTATACATTTAAATAAAACTTATTACAAATTCGTATTAATAAGTCATATTTATTTTGTATTAACTACGATGAATGGTTTAAAATATTTTCAGAAACTAAATTTTCAAGGTGGCTGGCCATTCACTTCAAATAACATAGTAATTTCAATTCAAAAAATTTGAAAGTTTAAAACCCTCTTCTACTTCTAGTAAAACTAAAATTTTCAACGAGATACACGTTCGGAAGAATCAGTTTATCCTCTTACAAGGGAATCTGGTCAAAAAATCCTGTAACATCAGATTGGAAAATAACAGATTGTAATTATTAAAAAAATTATTCTTATATCACGGTTTTTTTAATACTGGCATTTATAAATTCATAATATGAATAGTATTTATGAATAATTTTATCCCTATAGTAATGAAATTATTTTAAATCCAAATTGACAACGATAAGATTAATATAAGAATGTTAATTATTGAGAATATTATTAAATATTTTATAAAATGAAATATCCTAATAAAAGTGTACACTGAATCTGAAAAATAATTTAGACATATATTATGAACTGTAAGACATTTTAATAATACTTTGATTGGTTTTTATTTTGTAATATACTCATTTTAAAGGGCTTACTATTCGGGATACAGCATGATCGATGACTGGTCAGCTATAGTCTATCATTGGCTGAAAGATATAGAACTTAAAGCCAAAACAAGTGGAAACAATTTTTACGGTGAATATTAATTTCATAATATCAAAAATAATTAAACTTTAGTTTTACGAAGAATTTTAACCAAATATTATGTAGAACGAAATAGTTATTACATTGTCTTACTAAAAGTTATTAATAAAACATTAATCTTGTTTATCTTGTTTAATATAATAAATATAAGTGTACAACTGTACAAATTATTGTAAATATGAAATATTACTATGGAATTTAAATTAATATAATAACAACAATATCATAAAAAATAATTTATTTACGTATAGTAAAAATTAAAATTTTATTTTTTTAAATCAGCTGACTTGATCTAAACATTAATTTTCGAAAAAGGTATGTAAGAGTAAACTTGGCGATCTATATTTGTATTATTTTTATGCGTATGTTTACTAATAAATTAGTAACTTCATTACTGTGGGAAACTCTGTATATTGAAACATCGTGGAGCTTAATGGTTCATTCAGATCTGAAATCTAAAAATATTAAAATTTTTTTGTTACAAATTATATTTTAATTTATCCATTGGATATCAAGAAACTACAGTTCTACGTACAATCAAGGCTGTTTTTGACAGATTTTTTTATTATTAGAATCACATTAGCAAGCTGTCAAGTCAAGTTTTCTAAACTTTTCAAGTTTTTACTTGACAAAACCATTTTTTTTATGCTGTAAAAGCCATGTCTGGAAAAATGGATTTTAATTTCCATAAATGTTTTGCACTAATAAATATCTATCAAATATTCTATTATTCTGTAAGGTTATTATAATAAACAATTAATATTAAAAGTTATGAAATATCTTGAATACATTTTATAAACCTTTTATATTTTTTTTAGTCAGATTTATAGAATATTTCATTTGTATAAATTCAGAAGTCATTATTATTTTAACATATCCTTGTGTAATATTTTTCGATGAACAAAATAAAAAAAGTAAACAAATGAATTTAAAATATATACCGGAAGTTTATAATAAAAATAATTTAATATTAAAAAGTATTTACAATATTTTTTGAGGTAAAATATCTATGGTTCAATATGTATTTTCAAAATGATTTCAAATATTGATGAAAATGTTATAAAATACACAATGAAAATGATATTTGTTTGCATAAGCTTATATTAAAGATAGAATAGAGTATTCTGGGAAAAGGAATTGAGCGTTCACATTATTATGAAGAATAGTTTCTATATGTCATCATTGACTGTTTTTAAGATATTTGTTCCGACTGATTTCACTAAAAGTGTACAAATACGTTTTTATATTATATTACAATACTTTTTTTTTCATTTTTCAGATTCAACAAATTAGGGTGTATTCACCTTTATATTGATACAAAAAAAATGTTAGAATATTATTTACCATAGTACATGTATTCGTTATTTTTATTATAAATTGTTTAAATCACCTGAATCGTGAACTGGAAGTTTTAATTTTTTTTCAAAATTGGATAAAATCTTTAAACAACGTCACTAATGGCATAAAAATGTTAATAATTTATTCTGGCTATAGCTTTGCATTTTAATTGAAATTCAAAGTTACTATTGGGTGAACTCTCAAACAACATTATATCCTTATACGATATACTATTAACAAATTATAATAAATTGGAAATAAAAAGTATTTTTGTAATTTATGATCACTTAAAACATAATAATATTGTATTTTACGTGTTTCAAAGTTGTTATATTGATCGAGTTAACACATTTTTATCAATTGTGAGCTCAATTCATTATTTTTCTGATGGGGCAAGCAGTTAGTAAAAATACTTTTAAAATATAGCCAATTTGCTTTATCACAAGTATGATTTTAATTTAAAATCAGAATGGAATTTTCTTTTCACGGCTCATAAAATATGTCTTTGAGACGATATCAGTGGAACTGTCAAAATACTAATTTGTAAAGGTAGCTTACAATGGCCATCGAATGATCATATATTAACATCTCAAGATATGCATTAATTTTGCTAGAGAAATATCAAAGTTATTGATTTTATTTATGTTTCTTCGTTAGAAATAATTTCCAAAGAAGAAAGTTTAGATGAATTTACAAAGTTGCCAAAAAATGTCCATTAATATGCCAACATCATCGTTTTAACCCAGATAACGCCAGCAAAATAAACTGCATGCCAATCTTCAATATTACAGAAGTGAAAATTAGCAAATAATTAAACATTTGATTTTCGTATGAATACACAAAACTATAACTGAGTATATAAGTTAAAAAATTATATTACAAATTTTTCCTAAAAAGCTAATGTTAATTACATAACGAAATCCATCAAATTTAATCCCTTGTAACTTTTAACCAAAGAAAACCATGAAGTATTACCACATTTCAGATACCAAAAAAAACCCCTGTAAACCCCTGTAGTTATACGCGTATAAATTTTTTACTTTTTAGTAAAATATCTAAGTTTAAACCATTTTATGTAAACAAAAAGTAATTTTATTTAATTTTGCTAATAAAATAAAGGTGATTTAAATAACTAAGAAAAATAAAGTATTTTAAATATAAGTATAGACTTTTTTTTTTTTTTGAAAATTGTAAATATTTTCAAAAGTAAAAATCAATTTTTTGTTAATAGATAATTTTTTTTTTGAAAAATATTCCTATGAGGACAGCTAATGTGAGCTTAGATGATGTGGTGTCAAGTGAAAGTTTAGGATAAGGGTGGCCGCTTCCAAGTAGTTGGGATTAAGGCGAGGAAGAAGAAGAAGATTTCTAAAATTGAATCAAACTGTGCATGTATCGTGTTTCTAAGATTATTTTAAACATTTCTATTTTACTTGACTTTTTCAAAGTTGTAGTGTTTTTTTTTACATATAATTTTACATATGTCATAATGCCTAGGTAAAAATAAATTATTGGATAAAAGTAGTTTATTGTTTTTTTGATTCACTGAAATCGTCTTAAGTAACTATCAACTTTTGAAAAAAAAATCTAAGACCTCTCAGTTTACAAAAAAATCTTTTAGTAAAAAAAATTTGATTAATAGAAGTAAAGTAGGAAATAGACTTGATAAATTCACAGCACATTTCAACTTCAATGAAAAAATTGTCGTATATATGTAAAATTAGTACAATTATAATTTTAAAATAACTTAAATGAAAAACATGATAGCAATGCACAGCTGTCGTATTATTTTTATACAACAAAACATTCCATAGATCTTGTTTGAACTCTCATCATTGGCAAGTAACATAAGCTCTGTATTATTTTGTACAGCATTACCTCTATTTATTATTCATCTTGAATATGTTTCGTGTTACGTGATTTCAATTGTGTATTTACATTTTAATTGTAATTTTTTGTTATGTGTTACATATTCAAACTAAAAATGTTTTCTTTATACAACAAAAGACAACACTACTAAGAGTTAACGTATGGCTGCACATCATAATACTGCAATAATTAAACGTAACACTTACTAATAACAGTAATTTAATTCAAAGTTTTCAAGTACTTAAAATTAAATTTTTATTTTTAGCATAGAAATGTTAATTAATATTATTTGTATAATTGTTTGGAGGATTGAGATAATGTAAACAAAAGTTCTTGTAAATTATAACAAGAATAACTTCAATGTTAACTTATTATACTACAATTTCATTTATTACACAACTGTTAATACGTTAAAAACAAGTGTTTAGAGTTGTACGAGTTATTAAGCAACAATCATAATTATAAGTTTAACTAATTTTACGATTTATGGAACGTCATAAGATGTTTTACCAATCATTAAACCAGTATGATATTTTACTATTTATTACGGCTGTTAATTTTTATTTTGCGTAGGGTGCTTTTGATAATGTGTATATATTTGTAATATGTGTCAGTATCAATCCTACTTGGTCTATAAAATAGTAAAACTACTTTGCTTTTGTATTGTCTGCAATATTTTATATTAAAATTAAATGATAATTAAACTAGATCAAAAAGCCAAGTTCTAAGTTTTGATATTTAAGATACAAAAAAAAAAATTCATTAAAAATACTAAATGAAGTCTAGATTTTATAAAATAGAAATTATTAAAAAAGCAAATCAAAATCCTCAAACTTTATTTAAGCATAATTTTCATATTTTAGGCTTTAATATTTAGATAATTCTGTTATAATTAGTTTTTAGTATAAATTTAATACATATCTATTTATAAGGAATTGTATAAAGCAATTCAAAGTATGACAGAAGAGCGAAAGGAGAGAAGATTGGATAGAGTATAAAAGCATGTGCAAAGAAGCCAAGTGTGCAGTAAGAAAGGCGAATTTTACTCATTGACGGACATGACTGCTATAGCAGTCATGCTCTTGGCTGTAATTACAGATTCACTTTAATATCTCATTAATAATTGTTTGGAATAAAAAATGTATCAGAGCTATTTTCTTTATAAATATGATACAAAAACAATGAAAACAAAAAAAAGTGTAACTGCTATAGCAGTTGTAGTCCACTCGTAACTTTTTTCTACTCGTGTAACCATATGAATGTTATACCATATCACTGTTATAACAGTTATAGTCAAATTAAAACTTAAAACACAATAACTGCTATACCAGTGGCTGTACATCAACGTGTTAAGAGGTATGATGAGTTGTATGATAGGCTAGGTACAAAGGAAGGCGAGAAAGAAATCTATAGACTTGCAAAAGTAAGATAAAAAAGGTCTAAAATTATAATTATATAAGGTGTATAAAAAGTGTTTATAATAAGGTACTCTCGAGTGATGATGTGAAAAAAGGTGGAAAGAGTATTTTTAAAAAATTTTTGAATGAAGAGTACCCAAAAAAGACATTAGAGGATATTTCGTGGAATAAGGGAATGGTAGATTTAATTAGTGAAAAACAAGTATGGGAGGCTGTAGCATCAATGAAAAAGAATAAAGCAGTAGGACCAGATGAAGTGCCAGTAGAAGTATGGAAAATATTAAGCGGCATTGGCAGAAGGTGATTGAAGGTTTTTTTTTAATAAAACCTTGTTAAAAGGGAAAATGCCAAAAGAATAGAGGAATAGTATGAGTCATAGTATGAAGATTTGAGAAAAGATAATAGATAAGAGAATAAGAAATGAGACATCGGTTTCTAAAAACCAGTTTGGATTTATGCCTGGTAAGTCAACAATGGAGCCATTATTTCGTGTGAGGCTATTAATAGAAAAGTTTATCGAAAAGAAGAAAAAACTGTGTATGGTATTTATAGATTTGGAGAAAGCGTATGATAGAGTACCGAGTGGTTTTAAAGGGGGCATTAATGAGAAAACGAGTTCTGAAAAGGTACATTAATATAATAGAGAATATATATGGCACTTGTACTAGGGTAAAAAGTGTAGAAGGAGTAACAGAAGTTTTTCGGGTAAGAGTAAGAGTGCACCAAGGTTCTGCTTTAAGCCCTTATTTATTTTCTATAGTGACGGATGAAATTACTAGAGAAATACAAGGAGAGGTGCCGTGGTGTTTGTTGTTTGGTGACGATATAGTGTTAATAGGAAAAAATAGAGAGGAAATTAATCAAAGTCTAGAGGTGTGGAGATCAGTTCTTGAAGAAATGTGGAGGTCAGTGACAATAGGCGAGGTGGAAAGTTTTAAGTATTTAGGATCAGTTGTACAAAAAAATGGTGATATTGACGAGGATGTCAGACACAGGATTAAGTGAGGGTGGTTGAAGTGGAGAGAAATTCTATAAGACTGTAGTGAGATGAGCAATGATGTATGGTTCATAGTGATGGGCGGTTAACAAGAAAGTAGAGCTGAGTATGAGTGCAGCAGAGATGAGAATGCTTAGATTGATGAGTGGAATGACTAAAGAAGATAGGATAAGGAAAAAACATATAAGAGGGTGTATAGGTGTAGCATCAATGATGGATGAGATGAGAGAAAATAGACTTAAATGGTTTAGTCATGTTATGAAGAGAGAAGAATCGGAAGCTGTAAGAACAGTTATTGAAAGTTGAAGAAAGAAGAGGTAGAGGAAGACTAAAAGAGAGATGGAGGGATGCTATTGAATGTGATAGCTGATGTGAGAGATGGTCTCAAGTGGAAGTTTAGGATAAGGGTGGCCGACCCCAAGTAGTTGGAATTAAGGCGAGGAAAAAGAAGAAGAAGAAGACATATATATTTATAAGGAAAGATATTTTTTTTTAAAAATAGGTTTAAATTTATTAAAGTAACGAAACTTTTATAAAATTTAAAATAATTTTGGTATTTCTATTATAACTCTTTAACAATTTATATATCTTAAAGAAATTATATTTATATGAATAAATTGACACATTTATTAAAATAAACTGAAAATTCTGGCAACTTAAATCAACATCATTTAAAGCATAACCAATAAAAAGGTCAATTTTACTATTATTATTTTTGTTACATTAAAATATATACTAAGTTTTTTTTTATAAACTTATGCTTATAGTTTAGGCTTATTAAGGGGTTAGATTTTATTACAGCCCTCCTACTCTTACTTGCGGGTGAACGTTAGGAGTTTGAGCAACTTAAAAATCATATATAACAAAATACATTGAATATTTTCAAAATCCTAATTTATGTGCGTTTAAGTTAAATTTATTTATTAATGTTATTTTTGTCATGGTCAAATTTTTTTGATCTTTGGTAATAAGAATTTAGGGTACTTTACTTTTTAAATCTTAAATAAATCTCGAAAAATCATATTTCAGTAATTTTCGAACAATAAAAATCTGACTTCTTAATTTTAGTAAAAATGTTTTTAAAGTAAATTATGACTAACTAAAAACTATAAATACAAAATATTGAAAAACGTGATGGATTTTAGTAGATAGAATAAAGATTCTTCAATAAATTACAGTTTTCTGTAGTGTCTCAACATTATAACGAAGAGGCTTTATGTGATATTTTTTTTATTCGATACGAATTTAATAATGCAGATTTTAGTATCTCATGACACAATTAGGTTTTTTCTGAAACTATAATAGGCTTTTGTCCAAATCTATACAATATCTTTTTGAAACCAGATAAAATTATATACATAAACATTTTTAATGACCTGTTTTTAAGATGGTGCTTCAACAAGTTTTTTTTTTTTGAGTTTTGAATTATAGCAAAAATATTTGTTCACGTATGTTGAAATATTGGGAATTTGAATAATTAATAATAAAAGAAAAACTTTTTTTAATAATTTAAAGTAAAAAAAAATTGATAATAATACAAAAATCAGTAAAAACTAAAGATCGATGAGTCAATTAAAACTTTGAAAATTAGCAAACTGTTTTTTCTCTTCGTGATTTGCCTACAATTTTAGAAACTGGTTAACCGAAAAGTTTGTTTTTTTTTCGTTTTTATATTATAGTTTAAGTATAATAAACGTTCAAAAAATGTTCAGTGAAAAAATAGAAAAGGTCAAACGTCTTGTTTATTATAAATAGCGAATAATATGATATAGATTAATATATTATATAATTATTATTACAAATTTTAAGTATAATAGGTATATATTAATGTAATTAATTTATATTAATTTTATATGACCCAACTCTATGATTTTATCATGCTTAAACATCATGATCGTCGAATATTGTTACGTAGGACTTGACAGGTCAATGATCTTTGTGTTGTAATTATTTTATGGAGAAATAGAAAGCAATAATATAATTCTTTATGTAAACCTGTATCTGAATAAAATTTCACTAATAAAAATTCTTAATCACTAGTGATTGATCCTCTCGGATCTCTTCAAAATTAATTTTATTTTGTATATATAAATGCATTTTTAAGATGAAGTAACACTGAATACTAACCAAAATTTATTTTCAGTATTTACGTGTCATATTTTCAAATTAATTTACTATGAAAACTCTTAGAAAAATACTAGATACCTGTATTACTCTTAAAAAAAGTCGAACTCAAAGTTGAAAATGAATATAGTTTTTGAACTTTTAAAGTATGAAAATAATTTGACAAACTACATTGTTTATCATTTTTCAAAGTATTAATTACTTTGAAAGTTGGAATGAAATTTTATTTGATTAAAAAAAATTCGCCAGTCATGCTCTATTTTATTTAAAACATTAAATAATTCAAAATTAATTATGCTTTATCAAAAAATGTATTCGAGATTATTTAATTAGCGTATGAATTATTTTATAAGTGTAATAAAAATATTAATCTTTTAATTTGTGATAGTATGGTCGCTTTAGTGTTAATGTAAAATTATTTTTAGATCTTTTTTAATTACACTATTTCCTGGGATCTTGTGGAGGATAAATTCTTCCACTTGAAAGTAATTTAATATTGATAAATATAAAAGAAAGAAATACTATAGCAATGGGTTGAATAGGGAAAGAAAAGGGTGGTTTTTATTTAATATTTTTTACGGCTGTTCATTGGAACGAGGCGTTTTATTTTCAATCTTAAAACTTACCGAATATTATAAAATTTGTATAAAACTCGTCAGACTTAAGTAAACACTTCTCCGTTTAGATTGAGTTACAATTCCATTTTCAACAAATTTGCTTTAGTTGATTTGGGCATTATTATATTTTTTAAACATGACATCCGGATGATGAGCGTACTAACTCAATTTGTTTTAAAACGAAATTTCAATTTTAAATAAATAAAATCACTATATTACACAAGTCCATTATAAATATTTGTTACTTATACAATAGATATCATAAATTATTTTATTTTAGCATATAAAGGACACATTGTAATAATATATAAATATCTGACAGAAGCATGTTGTATATGTTTTTGGTGTCATTTTATTTAGTTAGTAAAAACCGTGTTCTTCATTTTATCTTCATTTCGCTTTTTTCCGTTCGGTCAGTCACTTTCCAGGAATCATCACGTGAGATAATTGTATGCTCTGTAAAATAAATTTAATTTCTCATTAAATACAAAAATAAAATTCGCATGGCTTAAACTTGTGAAGCAATACTAAAATGTTCAAAAAACAAGTATTATCAAATATTTAAGACACCCGTAGTTAATGAAGTATGCTCATTGGTTGCTATAGTAAAAAGCTGTCACTTTTATACTTAGAAACTTGGTTTTAGTACTCAATATGCTGGGATATATTTTTTTTTTGTCAGTTTCTGGTTATCTATCATAAGTAAGCATAAATGTAATAAAGAAAATTCAAGTACTAATATGTGTTTCACATGATTCTTAATCATAAAAATATAATTATTATTTTTTCTCTAATCTAAGTGAAAAATCAATAATGATCAGGTACAATTCCGTCTCTTGCTGAAATTTCAGCAATAATTTATCATTAATTTAATTAAGTTGTTTGAATGAAGATATTAGGATATTATTTATTTCAGTCTATTATTGTTTAAATATCCAACAGCTTAAGGTGCATTAGCAATACGAAATCCAGGTACTTATTATTTCTAGATAGTATTAACTCAGAGCGCCCAAAATTCTTGGCTAACGTCAGAAAATAGGGTTTCCACTAGTAATCGACAAAACGTGTTTTGAGCGATAAACTGAAAAATCACGATTGGCGTCGGAATGCTTTAAACGGAAACAAGTGAATGCACCACCGCAGAGAAGAGCACTACGTGTACGTTGGAAATTGACTTCATTCTATCTCTTTTCTTCTTTCCCCTCACTCGGAACTGTCGGTTGTCAACTTCTTTCGTATATAAACCACGTTAACGACTACAATAATAGACACATGAACGATCAGTAAATCGAATTCGCCACTAACTAGAAATGAAAATATTCTCTTTCTTAGAAACATTATTTGATCAAACTATATTTATTTATTTTTTACAACTATAAGAGTTAGTAAAAATATAATAAATTATATTTCATATAAATTTCAAGTTACTATTGTTCAGTTTCGAACAAAGTTTCGATAGAAATTGAAAAGATTAAGAAAAAAAATTAAAACAATAGATTTGTTATCTAAAAGGATAGAAAGAATAATAAGCTTTTGTAGATGATATCATTCTATAAGAGATTTTTCAACAAATTGAAAATTAAGCTTTTTTCTTTATATACGCCAAGTACGTACATTTGCCAATAAGATTTCTTAAATGTTTTATAGGTTTGTAATTTCGAGTCAAAGAATTATCTAATTAAAATTGAAATTTCTAGTAAAATAATTATTACTACTAAAAAACAACTCATACGATTAAACATTAATATATAGGATGTCTGTAATTTTTTTTTAATATCTGCCTCTATTTTATTACTGATAAAGTAACACATGGTACATAAATGTTTTACAGTCTACTGTAAATTGCATACTACAGCTGGGCCAATATCATTAAAGTAAGTGGCGTTGTTAATCAGCTATTTCATGACATACAAACTACTATAAAATAATTATAGTATTTTAGAAAATACCAAGCTTTAATTGAATCGTGTATAAAAAACCAATGAACACTAAAAGTAATATTTATTATTTCATATTTGTGTTACTTAAGTCTAAGGCAAAAAATTAATAAAAAATATTTTAGAATTGAAAAATTTTAGCAGATTTTTTTTTTCTATATCTAACGTTTTAATATTTTTTATATACANTTCATATTTGTGTTACTTAAGTCTAAGGCAAAAAATTAATAAAAAATATTTTAGAATTGAAAAATTTTAGCAGATTTTTTTTTCTATATCTAACGTTTTAATATTTTTTATATACAAAAAACGAGTGTGCAAGTGTATGTAATATGTGCCGTGTTTGCCGTCAACGGTGAGATAATGTATGCGAGAAACGAGTCGTATAATATTTTAATAATACGTAGTACACCGAGTGTATAAAAATCATTGGGGTCATAAAGCACAAAGTAGACATCCATGATGCATTTTTCATGTATTAGGTAAAAAACAAAAAAAAAAATAGTAAAATCTTTTATAACCTTCATACGGAATACAGATTACAAAATACAAAAATAGCATAAAAAATGCATATAATCACACTAGATATCTTGCGCATTGCAACGGCGGCGTGAATTAAGATGATTTTCTAAGAGAATATAAAGATTTATTGCTTGGTAAAAAGAGAGTGGAAACCACTGTTGTTAGCGAGCCAGCGACGGATCTACCCAAGCGTTTTCGTCACGAATACTTAAGCTTCTTAGTCTCGGCCATAGAAGAAAAATGCTCTTTGCGCTCGTTTTTTTTTTTTAATGGAAATTCTAATTCGATATCCTCATGAAAGAATAAAAAACGTGTATTTCCTATTGCTCTCAGATTTGACGGTGCTTTATTTATGCATGCACGTGGTAGAAAAAAAAAAGATAGATAATACGCCTCGTTAACGTATAATATTTTTAATATATACATGCTCCATGTATTCATTACGAACCGTACTACCATAATTCATTTTTAACAATCCCGGGCTTTAGTGTTGCCTCTATAAATCGTGTCTTTTAATCCTTTTAGGGCCATATTTTTCACCGTTAATAGCAAAAAGGGACGGAAAGAAGAACAGACTACCCTAAAGCTGTAAAAAATAGTACAACAAAAACATGAAAGAACACTTGTTAAATTATCTGTTAAGAAATAGTTTAGTAACTCGAGTTTCCTATATTGTGTTTCGTGTTTTCAATTATTATTGTCTGCCCTTTTTCCGAGAACTAATCGATATTGAATAAGAGTTCAAATTAACCTCCAACAATGGCATTGCTGTTGTTTCGCCTTATCATAATACAGAAAACAGTATTTGTGGTTTTTATACTTAAGTAAAAATATATTTTATTTAAAAGCTTAGCAAATATGTTAGAAATTTCCAATTGAAAAATTTCTTAATTGCAAATTTATTGAAATAAACTTATAAAATTGATAATAATATTTGCCATCAGTCATAATTAGTCTCTTAATTTACGTGTATCAAAAAAATTGAATGCATTTAGCTGTATAGAAATCCTAGAAACACGTATTTGATTATATGTTAAAATGTATAAATCATACAAAAATGATTGAATTTTTGTTTATTAATACTTTATGAAGTTATATACAAAATTATAGCGACTTATTAAGATTTAGCACATCTATTTTTAGAGAGAATTTACGATACTTTGTATGTTATTTTAGGTTAACCATAATAGTTTTATTAGTACTTAATAGAAAATAAGATCTAAATAAGGGTATTACTTTTATTTTGTATGTAATTGAGCAGATTAGAATTAACTATAAAATAAAAACTGCATAATAACATTATTTAGTCATATTTTATTATTTTTCGTGTTACTTTTTATGAAATAGAAAATACAATTAAATAATGCTATTAAATAGTTGTTATATTACAGGTGATTCGTCTCCATTATTTTAAATTAATATCGAACAAATTTGTTTGGTTTTTTTAATTTTAAATACTTTTTTGGTTCATATATTTTTTTAATGACAATATACATATTTAACAAGCTCATAAAATAGGAAATTATCAAATTAAAAAAATGCCTGATTCAACTTTTGGACCAGTATATTGGATTTAATTACAATTTAAAAATAAATACAAACAATGGAATGTTGGTGTGATACGAGTATGACTATTTTTAAGTTATTAACATTATTAGACCTGGGCCAAAAAAGACCGACAAATATTTGATAATATTTGTTTAAAAGTTAAAAACATGTAAAAATAAAATTTAGAAATAATTAAATAAAGAAAATAGTAAATTTAAAACTCTTAAATAAATATTTCTGGAAATTTTTCAAAAATTTTGCCAATATTAAATTTCCGAATATTTTATTGTACTATATCAGGTAGATCATAAAAAATGAAACCAAACAACCGTCAAGTTATTGGGTGTTAAGTGTCTTGAACTTTTCCAATGAATTGTAGTTGATGGTAATGGACAATAGTGAGGACCAGAAAATAAATCATTGTTACATTAGAGCTTGTGAGAAAAATTCTGGTCACGCGCACAGGTATTTGTGCCAATATTTAAAGTTCAACCATGACGGCGCTATGTCATCGCCAAGACGCTTTAAAAATTCCATCAGTATTCAAAGACCGACGAAGGTAGTGGACTGGTAGAAGGACCCGACCCTCTTTAAGAATGTATATATATATATATAGGCCTACGAAAATATCATGGAAACGAATAGGGCTGACGCACGTCGTATGGAAGTTACAAAAAAAGGATGTATATTTGTCCTTTGCATGTATTTTTTTTTTTTTTGTACATTGGCAAACCTCAGCAATGTCCAAAGACTTACTGGCGCATTTGGGATAATAAAAATTCAGTTTGCATAGTATCGCATCACAAAACTCGGTCGTGTCGCTCGTGTTCGTAATTCTGATTTATGGACGCGCCGAGGCGTCGGTGTAATGATGGTGAGGTAAAGAGATGAGAAAGGGGCGGTAAAACGATGGAGCGTTTTCGAATAACGCATATGAGGTTCGAAAGTTATTGTTAAACCTAATTTTATATGAACATCTCTTTTTCCATCCGCATAGTGTATGGTGAAACAATAACACTAACGCGACCTTTTCCGTTTCTCGGAGATAAATGATGATGATGATGGCAGTGGTGGGATTGTACAATGTAGTATAGAAAATAATACGGTACAGTTGACGTTAACAATACGTTAAAATTAAGCGGTCCGTAACGTAAACTGTGTCATAAACATTTCAGTTTTTAAATTTTATAACCGATTATTGCTATTTTTAAAAAATTGCGATTTCATCAAAAACAAACAGTTTTTCAGAACCGCCGACAAAAATCATTTAATTGAATACATTATACAGAGTGTTCAGTAAGTAGGTGAACGGGTTTCTTTTGTTATCATTGTTTGCAACAACTAACCAATTTCCTTACTTGCTAATCACGCTGTATAATGTATCTATTAGAATAACGATAATAATTATTTTTTCTATAAATTAATAGTTTATGTTAAAAAAATTCAAAT